CAGGAGAATCGCTGGAACCTGGGAGGCGGAGGTTGCAGTGTGCCAAGATCATGCCACTGCACTCCAGTTTGGGCAACAGAGTGAGATCCTGTCTCAAAAAAATAAAAAAATAATAAAAAAAAGAAAGTCATAGGTCTCCTAAAATCAAGGGAGTCTCATCTTCCTCAGCCTCCATGCCTGGGTTTTAGTCCTGCCCTTTGCAGTCACACATATGAAATCTACAGCCCCTCGCCTGTCAGCCCTTTACATCAAGAAAGGAAGGGCTCATATCCTAATTTAAACCATTTTTCTTCCATCGAAAAGTCCCTAGTGCCCCCACAGAATAAAATTAATATCCATGAGTTCATAGTGAGAGAAATAAATAATTGAATAAATAAATATTGAGCAAGTCAAATGATCTCTCTGAAGCTTTTCCTACTTACAAAGGCAAAATTCTGATCCATGCACCCTGAAGAGGGCTGTGGTGAAGCTCAAATAAAACATACAGCAAACGGCTTTGTAAAATGTCACAAATGGTGATGGTCATTTCTATCAAGATGCTGGTTAAGGAACTGGACATGGTTAACCTTCTCCCATAGGACTGCACAAGCTTTACGTGCAATCTTTATATTGTAATGAAAAAAAGAATAAAATGATGGATCTTTTGCAAAATCCCAAATGAATTACTAAGGCAGAGACTCTAAAGCCCACTGCAAACAGAAATCAACAGAAAACAATTTTGTTCAACAGTGGCCGTTAGAGAGGAAATTAGTGTAACCCTTTGTTTGGGACACTAGAAAATACTGGTGCCTCTTCACGGTCATCTGGGCCACCCACCTCCTTGGATAAATCATATATTAATGTGCTTTGGCTGTCAGGCGTGGTGGCTTACACCTGTAATCCCAGCACTTTGGGAGGTTGAGGCGGGAGGATCACCAGAGGTCAGGAATTCTAGACCAGCCTGGCCAACATGGTGAAAGCCTATCTCTAATAAAAATACAAAAATTAGCCAGGCGTGGTGGTGTGTGCCTATAATCCCAGCTATTTGAGAGGCTGAGGCAGGAGAATCGCTTGCACCTGGGAGGCAGAGTTTGCAGTGAGCCGAGATTGTGCCACTGCACTCCAGCCTGGGTGACAGAGCAAGACTCCATCTCAAAAACAAACAAACAAAAAACATGCTTTTGGTAATGTCCCCTCTGCCTAAAACAATGACTTCTACTTGTGATTGGATGAAGAGCAGATACCCTATCCTCGGCAGCAGCAATTCCTCCACCTCTGCCTGATCCCTGGGGAACTCACATGAAGGAAGGAGGGAGTGGAGAAAAAGGGTTCCACAAAGCAGATAACGATTGTTTTCATTTTGTTTTCCTGAGACAGGGTCTTACTTTGTGGCATGGAGCTGGAGTGCACTGGCGCTATCAGAGCTCACTACAGCCTTGAACTCCTGGGCTCTAGCGATCCTCCCACCTCAGCCTCCTGAGTAGCTGGGACTACAGGTGCAGGCCACCATGCCCAGCTAATTTTTGTATTTTTTGTAGATATGGGGGTCTCCCTATGTTGCCAAAACTGGTCTTGAACTCCTAGGCTCAAGTGATCCTCCTGCCTTGGCCTCCCAAAGTGTTGGAATTAACAAGCCTGAGGCACCATACCTGGCCAGTGTGGTGGTTAATAGGATTATTTGTGTTATTATTGCCCCTAAGACTGTCATGACTCCTAGCAACCATCTTTTTCCATTGGATAACATTTTGTAAATATTTTCACATCTCTCTCTCTCTCTTCTCTTTCTCGTGACCTTCCCGTAACGAGCGAAGAGAGGAAAGCAGGTATTTTATTCCCCTGTTTTGACTGAGGCTCAGGAAAGTTGAGTGACTTCCTGTGGTCACATAGCAAATTTGTGGCAGACCTAGGACTTGAAACCAGAGCTTCTGTCCACTCCAAGGCTCTGTGCTCCTACTCTCCACAGGAGGCCTCTGGGCTAGGTCAAAAACTTCTCCTGGACAAACATCTCTCCTGATGCTCTAAGTACCATTTATTCCCTCTTGAAAGGTCTGTGGGGCTCCCAGGCATTCTTCATGGTACACACTTACTGGACATCTCTGAAGATCACAGTCACACGGTAGTTGCTTTGAACCTCAATGTCCCACACACAGTTGGCATTGTTCGGATAGTTCCCAGGATAGAACGGGCTGGAGAAGTGTCCTGATGGTTGGTTTAGGAAGCCTCCGCAGGAATAATTTGCTGTCAGGACAAAACAGGCATCCTGGTGGCCCCAGAGCACACTGCACTGTCACCTGGGGACTATCTTAAATTTAAATTACTTTAACAGTTTTAAAAATAATTCCCAAGACAGAAATCAAAGAAGAGCAAGAGGTGGCCTCAACTGAGACTGTCCACTGAGGGCTGGCGGGCAGTCTTGCAGGGAGACCACGTTTGGGGAAGCCATCTCCTCCCCAGCTCCATTGCCACTGAGGGAACGGGAAGAGGGATTTCCAGGCCCCTCTGCCACAGACTCTTCATGGAGCTCAGAACTTACTGTTTGGATGACTGATGGTGGGAAAAGGAGCTGTTAACAGAAAGAAAAGATCAGGATCAGTTTTCTGGCATCCCTGGCCCAGCTGCCGCAGGGAGGATCTGGATATAGGCCTTGCCACTGGGTAGCTCACTCACCCTTGGGGAGGTCTGGAGGAGAGCGAATCCCAGCAGAGTGCGAAGAGGCTGAGATTGAGCAAAGCCTAGGGAAGGAGAGGTGCTCAGAGGTCTAACCCCACCCCAGATCAAGTAGGGAAAAGAGGGCAGCAATTACAGGGCAGGCAAAGAGGTAGAAACAGGGTGTCCCAGGCAGAGAAACACTGGTGGAAGAGATTTGGGAACCTCCGTGTGAATGGAGAGGCAGAGGAGGGGAAGAGGGCACCAAACAGAGAGTGGATCATGAGGAGCCCTGGTGGTCATGCTGTGCTGAGGAGGGGGTTCACCACCAGAAGCCCCTGAGAAATCACTTGAAAGCAGATGCACAGGGGAGAATGGATGGGAGAGGACAGGCCTGAAGCTGCTGCTGTGGGGGGCCAGGAAGACGATGACAAGGTGAGGGGGGAATGGAAGGCAAAGACCTGAGATGCCAGGGCCATGCTGGGAACACTCAGAGCAGCTCAGGGGCAGGCAGACAGGAGCTCAGCGTGCAGTGGGCCCTATTCGGCCAACACTGGCCAGGGTCTGGTGTCTGGGAGGACAGGCAGGCCTGACAGGTAGCAGGCCTTGCCTTGGGACTGACTGGAGATCTGAATCTTACGTGGACCAGGCCATATTGTCCTGGTGGCCAGCAGGGAAGGGGACAGGAGCTGTAGGGGATGGCACCACAGATGAACTCATTGGAGAGTGAGCAACTCGCCCTGCACAGTCTAGGCAGCAGCAAGAAAGAGACCCAGACACCAGGGAAGTGGGATGGAAATTGGGAGGACTTACCAGGTGTTGATAGCTGGTATCCTGAAAAGGAAGAGAAGAAAAGCATAGGTTACAGATGTATGGCTTGGAGGAGGGACCAGAATGAGGCAGAGATATACCTACATGGCTCAAAACCTGTCCCCTCCTTGCTGAGGGTCCACCAGGTCCACCAAGTGATTGCTGTTGAGAAGCCTACACAGCTTCCCCAAATGCTCCCTAAGTCCCATCGTATTTGGGGTCATCAGGATTACAGCTGAGGTTATAACCCCCATCACGCTCTACTTGATCACGATTGTTCTAAAATTATCCCAATGGTTGTCTGTAGCAAGTACTATCATAGCCACCCCGACTCGACAATCAAGTAAACTGAAGCATAAAGAAGTTAAATCATTATTGCTGGAGGTCCTTAGTCAGATGAGTGCTCAGCATAATAGCCCTGGGTCCAGAAACTGGCCAAAGATAAAGCAGCCCCCTGCATGCTCTTCTGAAGTGCACAGGCCACAGGGACACATTGACCAGCTCCTGCCTGGGCCACAGACACCATCGGCCACTGGCCTTAAGCTCTCCCTTTATAGCAGGTTACAGGTGAAACAGGCCTTCCATGGCATTGGGCCATACCTGAGCAGATGACACCAGCATCTTCATGGTGACGACAGTTGTGGGAGAACCAGCCTCGGTTCCGGCACTGCCAGAGAGTGGATTCTGTCCCCAAGCATTCTACGTCATCCAGGGTGATGGGGCCAGAGCCAGAGCCAAAATAGGCATTTCCAAGGGCTGAGAGTGCATGTCCACACCCTAGCTGTCTGCAGACTACCTCAGCTTCATGAATGGTCCAGGAGTCATCACAAACTGTCCCCCATGTGCCACGATGGTAAACTTCTACACGCCCGGCACATAGACCATAAGATGAGTTTAAACTGACCAACCTCAAGCTGGCATCTGAAAGACACATTAACTGAGAGATCATGACCATGTCCCACAACAAATATCCCACCACAAGCCTCAAAGACCAAGCACCCCACAGGCCATTCCCCACCCCCAAAGTCACCAAATGGAAATGTGGAAAAGTTGGGGTGGAGGCACTGGACTGCTCCATGTAGAGTTGAAAGGGGCTCCAGACATCGCCAAGTTCAGATCCCCTCACCTCCAGATGGAGAGGGGTGGCTCTGCAAGGAGAGTCACCAGGCCTGGAGAGTTGGTGGCAGATCCGAGGCCAGGTGTGACCCCCTAGTCTGCACCCTTTGCTGCCTTGCCAAGGGCCTGCCTCTCCTTGAGGCTCACACAGTCAGTGCCGAGAGAAGGAGAATGGGTAATGCATCACTGAGACCCTTCTTTGATTTCCTTGGGGAACCACGACGCCCCCAAAGAGGCAGCTGGGTAAATCCATTAAGCCTCATAGGCATGGTCTAGTGTGCACTTACCGCTTGGGAAGGAGTTATACCAAGCCAAAAAGCCGATGTTTTGGAAACTGATGTCACTTTGAAAGTGAATGGTCATTCGGTTGTAAGAAGATGTGAATATCTGCTTGGTATCATTACAGATTTTCCCCAGCAGGTGACTGCTATTCAGTGATCCATCAAAGATTTCAACATAATCAAAACTGCAGCTATTGTGCCCCTCCAACCTGTATGGACAAAATGTATTCAAGTCAACACTGAAATTCCTATTGCCCCTCCATTTTATAAATAGTTTGGACTTTACAAGTGATGTCATTGAATATAGGTTTTTCTTCTAGCTTTCCCTCAATTAAGTCAAAAGACTTCCCAGTATTGCCTGATGCTTTACAGTAGGGATCAAAGCCACCAAAAGCTTGTCCATGGTACACGAGAATGAAAAGCATCGCAGCCCAGGACATAGTCTAAACCACTGGGTGTGCTGCAGAGGGACTCACCCCTCACCAGATGTCCAGGCATTACTTACTGCAGATTACTGAAGCCCAGGTTTATGCAGTAACCGTAATTCACTTCTATTTCCCAAACACACTTAGCATTGTTGGGATAGTATCCAGGGTAGGATGGGCTGGAGAAGGTCCCACTGGCATTGAATAAGAAGCCACCACAATTTGAAGAGGGTCCTAGAGAGGAGAGAGGGGACATCTCCATTGCACCAGGTCTTCAGGTATTTTGTGACAAGCAGTCATCTTCTGTGTAAGTATCATCAGGTTTCATCCTCTGGAATTTATAACATGACTTAACTGTCCCTGTAAACAAGTCCCCTCTCTTGGGCCTGGTTCTAGGTGACCCAACATTAGGAGCTTTGATTCCAGTCTCTGCTTTCCCTGTTGGTCCTGGACAGCAATTCTCTGAGAGGAAGAGACCTTAGCTTCAGAGGGAGCATATGTCACCTCGAAGTAAAAATGCCAAGAAACTAACAAAGTGACTGCTATTGTTGTTCACTCAGCTACAGACAGGGACGTGGGATAACACTGGCTGAGCATAGCACTGACCATGGAGAGCAGTTCATAACACAGTGTATTCCCTAGCATCTTCCATGAGCACAGGACTCTACCATTTCACAAGTAGTGCAACGTGGGGTCAGGAGCAGGGTTTCTGCAACAGGTAACCTGGGTTTGCATCTTGGCTCTGCCTCTATCAGCTCTATGATCTGGACCCGGTTACTTAAACTTTCTGCCTCAGTTTTCTCATCCGAAAAAATGAGAGTGGTAAAGGCATCTGCCTCATCAGACTTTTACAGATATTAAATAAGATACATATATACAAACATTTATACATACATGAGATATGTTTATATGTCTATATAAACTTGTAGTACCAGATACATGAGCACCCAACAATATTAGCTATTGTTATTCATCAGAAAGGGATAAATACTAAATGGTCAAACATTTTGTTGGTTGGCTTATTGTAATAAAAACTTTTGAAAAACGTGCACACTCGGTGATATAAATTAAAATGTTTTCTTTTTTTCTTTTTCATAACTCTTCTTGTTTACTTTTTCTAAGGGAGACAAGTCCATGGTTTTTAGCATACTCAGAGCTCTGAAACCACCACAGTCAATTTTAGATTATTTCATCACACCAAAAAAGAAACCTTGTACTCACTAGCAATCACTCCCCATTTCTCCACACCCTCCATTCCTGGCAACCACGGATTTCTCAGCATGTTTCATCACATTGTAGCATAAATCAGTATTATTATTATTTTTTTGAAACAGAGTTTTTGCCCTTGTCACCGCCCAGGTTGGAGTGCAGTGGCACCATATCAGTTCTCTGTAACCTCTATCTCCTGGGTTCAAGCAATTCTGCCTCAGCCTCCGTAATAGCTGGGATTACA